TTCTGAATTAGAATCATTATCATAAATAAAGCTACTGGGAAACTGATTTCAGTACAATATGTACATTTATTTGATTTGATGAAAGATATCTATTCAAATGTTACTAAAACATTTTTCATTTCAAAAAGTCCTTCTTACCAGTGAAGGCAATTTATCAGAGGAATATCAGGTGAAGATAATTTTAAGTAATGGATACCAGGGAACAAGGGTATACCATATCTTGCTTTAGGAGTAGTATTTTCATATAGATACCAACTACTGCTTGATGTTGACCTCAAACAGGTGGCAAGTAAATTCCCAGAGGCCAGCTGATCTTCAACTTTCCTCATGAATAACAATGGCCCTTTATTATATTTAAACAAGTTTAGTGAATGAAATGCTTCTATATCTTTCTGTGTAAAGTGTATACACACATAGGGCACACCTTGGACAGGTATTGTACAGAGACAAAAAGGTGTGTTAGCTTCAAACTTAAATATTTCTAACACCGTAATTAAACTAAAGCTTCCTCATTTTTGTAAGACAGAATTTTTAGGATTAACAGTATGATTCAAGTTAAGAGTTGTCCAATTTAATGTCAAACATTAAACTTGATTTCATTTTTATTTTCATTTCTTCATGGACAGAAACTTTTATTGACAAAAATTTAAGATGTCCATGGTACAACTGTACATAAGTTTCATAGCTCAGACAAGTTATTACTTCATCAACAGTAGAATATTACCTACAAGACATCTACAAACACATTCTGTTGAAACTAGTGAAAAGTAAACTCAGCCCAACCTCATTTACATACACTCAAGTGGAAGGAACAGTCTCTAGTAAAAGTGTTACCTGAATCAGATCACAAAATTATCTGCTTTACCTGTTTATATAATATGTAGTTACTCACCTAGAATTTTTATAGCTCTTAAAAAATTTAACCTTATTTTAAAAGAATAATGAGAAACAAGTTCTTTTGTATATGGAGTCATATACATTTATCACTCTTTTGAGTCCAGGTGCAAATACGCAAAATCTAGACAGAAAAAAAATAAAAGAAAAACCATTCAGTCAGGTGTAGGTGATTACAATTTTCTCATCATTCCAGGCAAGTCATTGAACTAAATTCAAACTCTAGCTAACTTCACGAAAAACAAAGGCAGTCTCCATTATTCATTCACTGAAGATCTTTTAATCTGAATCAAGTTGATGGGAATTTATCAAGAAATGAAGACAATGGCTGAGGGTTTTCGATGAATAGCAATTGAAAGCAATCTTGAACACAACTGTATAAGTGTTCAAATACGAAATTCACAGTAGACTTTCTCTGATAGACCTTACAGCTGATAATAAGACTGGACAAAGTAATTATTCGGGTTGACCACAAAGCTCCATTGTGGAGAGCGTGTTCCAGATCGAGTTTCAAGGTTCTGGGTTTGAATCCTGCTGACTTGTTCAATTTCATTTGGCTCTGTCTTGCTACAGTAGTGCTACTTGATAAAGGTAATCATTGACTTAGTTCTGTAAGTCATTTAAAACCTAGTCACATGACCAGGTATCCTGGTAATAAGGTGAATCTTTCTGCAGTAAAATGTCACACTATTTCTCTCGTTACAATTTCATCAAAATCCATGAAAAAAAATGATGCAGCTGGAGGGATAAAACTAAACCGAGATATAGGTCAATCATTGGGTTACACAGTACAAATTAATGTGCCTTGCAAACAGTAAGTCAAGTCAGCATACAAAAAAAATGATCAATATGTTCTTTTAGTGTCATGAAAGTGATAATTACTATAGAATTTTAGTAAAATCTTCAAATTTATCAAGCCACAATGGAGATTTCTAACCTTGCAACCTTGCTTCGAGTAAATGAATATGCTACGTCATGTGCACAAGGTACACTGACACTTAAATATTTGATAACACTAAATGATAACCCACATACATTTGTACCCATGCACACAAGTAATGAAGAGAAAATCAATATTGAACCGACCCATCTTTAAACATGCAAGTGATTTTGTCCTGTATTATTTATTATAAATCTGTGTCAGAGAACGAGAGATACTGTACCTGACAGATCTTAAATGCATTGCAACGCAACAATCCATAGGTAAATTATTTACCTGTGTAAAGATTCCTAGAAAAAAAATTTCTCAAAGACAAATGAGAGGAATATCTATATATAAAATTTCATTGAAAATGGAAGTCCTACATATTTTACTGGAATGACCTAAATCATTCATTTTACAGTAACGTGAGTACAGGAGTCCAAATCCTAATTGGCCATGGTTTTTGTTTTCTTCAGCTCTTACTATTATTAGCATCAGGAACATGTGACCAAGTCTTTAGTGCAGTTGTACTGTCAATGGCTACCAAGACCTCAATTAGTCATTTTACTTTTCCAGTTGAAAATTACTCCTCAAGAGCTCGAATGGTGCATCATGTCTGCATGTTGATTGGTTCAATAGCCCTTATCTAAGGGCAATCTTTACAAGTTAATTAGAACAAATTATCTTCACAGGTGTTTCAGAATATGTAAAATGTTTCAAAAGATTTACCAAAGTAATCTCCCTTTACTTTTGGTTGAAAAGATTCTGCTACAGTTAATAAACTTGCCAAGATTAATGAAAAATCCATAGTGTTAAAAGCAAAAATTAATAGTATTCAGGAAAGATCCAAATGTTCCTAACAACATTAGAAGTAAATAGACATGAAAAAAGAATGAAAAAACAAAGAGCAAAATACGTATAAGGAAAAAAGACTATTGCTGTATTGTATTAAAGATCTAATGAAGACTGAGAAGGAAATAACTAGTTTCAAATAATCCATATAACTTTTCATGAAATCATCCCTTATAGTCTCTCCTGAAAATTCATCTGTACAAGATTGTTGCTAAGTCTTCTTTCAACAACCAATATATCTCCCTAAGTCAAGTAGCAATATCCAATGTTTACGACCATATAAAACATTAAATCAAAATAAAAACGACCTTGTACAAAGCAATTCTACGGTATAATTGTTTAATGACACCCTATATTTGTCTGAATATAAAGACATTTTGACACTGAAGTTTCTCTCTGTCTTACAACCTGTCATGAGATGGTTTCTTAACAAAACAGACAATTATGAAATTCATATTTCAAGAGAAAATTAATGGGCTATTGATTACAGATTTCTCTGAAAATCAGTATAAAAAGGCATTTCTAACACTACTGGATTCTGAAATTACATAGTTTTAAACTCTGGGATGAGGTTATATCGTGCATGTGTGTATCATGTGTCTTCAAATGGACTAAAATGGAACATATTGTCCATTTTTTGTCATTCTTGTGTTTGGTGAGTGACTAACCTGATGTATACATGTATATGTTACCAATGTTCATTCCTTAGAAAGGTTGTATATCTTAATTATGGAATAATGTTATTATTCAAAACATCTCATTAAAATATCACTCACTAACACGTCTGAATTAAGTTATCTGAAATATTATATATATTATCAAACATAATATGCACTTGGTTGACTGCATCGCCCAACGGCCAATCAAAATGAAGGATATCCTGGATTTAAATATTGCTGTTCTCGTATAAATTTTTCACTTGAAATATCCAACATAGCTACAAAATGCAGTGTTCCCCTTCCTTTTGGGGGTAAAGTGTACCCCTTACAATGTATTTATAAAGAAGAGTGCTTGAAAACTGGGTGTACAAGTCTTGAATTTCATCAATTTGGGGGGTTTTGTACCCTCATTTGAGGGAAATGTAGGATTCTGAATAGGTGTAAGTTAATACAGCTTTCTGAGTATACCAGTGGTATTTAATAGTGTATATTTAAGGAATGTGAGTTTACACTTAAAAATGTTATCTGTTCACTCAATAGTTTCATTTCCATGGTCTTGAATATTTTAAATAGAATGGCACACTCCTGTGTGCATGAACGACATTAAACATTGGAATGATTAAAAACGAGATAATGGCATGTTTTGTGTGTTCTAAGATTGATGGATATTTTACGTGTACTCACAAGAAAAATCTCAAAATATCACATTTTGAGACAACACAGTTTTGAAGCAAGAGTCCTAGTTCTTTTGATAAGAAGATTTAATGTTTCAGTAAACAGTCATCTGATGCTAGGCTGTACAATCACTATTTACATGATTGGGTCTTAAACAAATTTTCATTTATTCAAATAAAAATACTGTGACTACCTGTTCAACGTTGCCATAAGTTTTTTAAGAACTTAGGAACTACAAAGTATATTCACTGTTAAAAGAATTCTTTTCCAGTATTTTCAACAAGTGTTTTGGTGAAGAAAACACTGACACAGTAGACTTTTAAGCACATCTATCACAATAGACATAATTATATTAAGGTGCTATACGCTGCTTTCTAAGTTTATAATTGGCAATCCTTCTTTATAACCATGAAACTATTATATTTTCTTCCCTATCAAAACTTTTCCACCCACTCAATCAATAACATTGAAACTTTTTTTCATGAAATAATATGCCATAGGCATAAGACTGATCCATATAATCCCTGTAAGAACTGCCATTATAATCCTGCAGGTCACAACTGGTGTGACTTCTTTAGTGTAAGTGTTACCCAGTACACATTATGTCCAATAGGTTGAAGCCACCTTTAGCGTTTAAGCCTTGTGGCTAGAACTGATCCTTTCATGAAGATTAAGAACATGACCACATAAAGTAGCAACTAGGCCATCAATAATTTAATGACTATTATGACTAATATACTACTTTCTTAACAATTTTTTCTAACTTTCTTGAAAAGTAATAGCCAGTCATCAAAATCAATTGTATTGTCAAGACTTTACTAATTTTCTAAAAAGCAAAAACATGATGCTGTGAAGAAAGTAGCGTTTATCACTGCTGTTTGTGAGTTAAACTGCAAAGACCTTCCACAATGACTAGAGGGCGATAAGGACATCCAATTAAGATAGACCTTACATGGATGATCACTATTAAATAAATTTCAGTTGTCATGGTGACTTACCAAATCCTGCTGAGTGTCATCAATGGGAGCCGAGAGTGGAGGAAGAGGTCACGGGCTCTCTCACCTGTAAAAACATACAACAACTTGTTAAATTACCTGTAATTGGGCCTTATCTAGTAAAATGTCTAATTTCAAATATGCGGATCACAAGTGTCATTTCAATAGGGAAAATTCTCTAGGTGAAATGGTTCAAAATATACAAAAATAAAGTGGAATTTTCAAAAACATAATTTTCTGATCTTATCACAAATCCTTTTCCAGATTTGAAAAAGAAAATAGAAAAAGGAAACCACACAATTCATATTTTAACATTTTTATTGAATATCAAATCTTAAAGGAAAGAATCACACCAGTTGCTATAAAGAAAAACATTATAAATACATGACAGGAATAACACAAAGGTTCAGGTCCAGAAATAACCCTTCTATAAAAAAACAAGCAAAAGCATGGTAATTCATTTCTGCTTTTGAACACTACTTGAGAAATCTATTTATTTATTTATTTATTTATTTAACAGGTCCACTATTATGGCCTTTTGGTCTTTCAGTGAACACCTTGAAAAATCTGGTTGCTTTGCTAAGGATTCATTACGTTCCATGTAGGGACTTGGGGATAATAGTTAACCATGCCCCATAAACATCACTGTAACCCTGGGAAACTTGAGGAAAAGTTCCTTCCCAGATTGGGAGTATGTAACTGTGGTAAATACTAATTGTAATATATACTGCTTGCCAGAGACAGCTTCTCTTTAGTTTGATCAACTGAATGCTGGACTAGTAAGTCATGGGTACCAGGTGTAAGTCTTGATGGAGGCATTGAAATAATCCAACACCTCTAAATTTGTTACACTAATTTTAAAGCACTAATATATAATCAAGTCACATTGTGATCATTAGTTACATTATTGTTATGATTTCTGTCTTTTTATTGCTTACATCTGATACAAGTGTAGAAGTAGAGAATAAAGGTTTCAATAAACTGGAGGGTCATTTAGCCTGTTGGCAGGGTACACCATATTAAAAAACGCTGACCTTTAAGAAATCAAGTTATGTATAGATCATTACTTCACTGAGTCTGTCTACATAATGCTGAGTTGTCTGCTCTTGTGAGCAATTATTCACCGTAATGTAAGTTTGCATAAGGAAGTTGTGTCATTCTCTCATGATGTTACTCTCACAAGCAGATGATGTAACAATCAATACCTGCTCACAAGAGCAGATAACTCTGGATTATTAAAAGACTTAACAGTACAATATTTACATGGTTATTAAGCCAATTGCATAATTTCTAAACATTCTTTTTCATCTGATGGGGTTCAAAGCTCCACCACTGTTGATAATTACACTTTGTTATGTACAGAAGCATGATGGAAGGGGTTATTTACTGTGATATATCTTCCTTAGTAGTTGGTGAGGTAAAGAAAAGGATAAAAACTAAGTGTGTTAGTGGGTGAGGGCTTCAAGGATGTTCAAAAGACAACCAAACGGAATGGTTACAACTGAATGTCATATGCAGTCAAAGTAAGTCTCACATTAATAATAAAAATTCAAACTTGGGTGTTTGAAGTATAAATATATAATCTATGTCAACCCCTTAATTATCAGTTTGTATGAAAATATGAATCAATTACTGACAATAAGACATGGAAATGTGGACAAATGATAGAATTAACTATAACATCTTTTTCAAAACTACATGGTATCAGCTACTATAAAAAACTATATCCTTTTGTTGATGTAAAAAGTCAGGTCGTTATCAAATCATTTAGGAACTAATGGTGTTCATATTTACAGTGAGCAAAGAGGGCCTTGGTGATCAAATGAAATGTTTGTTGGGACTAACACCATACTTGTTGTGACTTTGTACAAAGAGTGTTGGGTCTATTTGCACAACAGCTACAAACAGGGTACATGCAAATATCAGATGAAAGAGAGAGCAATAGTTTCCCTGAACATAAGTAATAGACAAACCCACATCTAGGGATTATAGATAAACACTGGTCAACACCACCGCAATGGATTATGTCTATCCATATACAACAGGAAAAAAGGAAATCTCCTAATGACTCTAATGGCTCTGTACTTTCCCTCAAATTCATCCATACCTTACTCCTCTATAATACACATGTATCATCAGACAGGGAGATTACTGTTACCCTCACTGGTCAACTATAATACCTGTGTATCATCAGACAGGGAGATAACTGTTACCCTCACTGTTCAACTATAAAACCCATGTATCATCAGACAGGGAGGTTACTGTTACCCTCACTGTTCAACTATAATACCCATGTATCATCAGACAGGGAGGTTACTGTTACCCTCACTGTTCAACTATGATACCCATGTATCATCAGACAGGGAGATAACTGTTACCCTCACTGGTCAACTATGATACCCATGTATCATCAGACAGGGAGGTTACTGTTACCCTCACTGTTCAACTATGATACCCGTGTATATCAGACAGGGAGGTTACTGTTACCCTCACTGTTCAACTATAATACCTGTGTATCATCAGACAGGGAGATTACTGTTGCCCTCACTGTTCAACTATAATACCCGTGTATCATCAGACAGGGAGATAACTGTTACCCTCACTGGTCAACTATAATACCCATGTGTCATCAGACAGGGAGATTACTGTTACCCTCACTGTTCAACTATGATACCCATGTATCATCAGACAGGGAGATAACTGTTACCCTCACTGTTCAACTATAATACCCATGTATCATCAGACAGGGAGGTTACTGTTACCCTCACTGTTCAACTATAATACCCATGTATCATCAGACAGGGAGATAACTGTTACCCTCACTGTTCAACTATAATACCTGTGTATCATCAGACAGGGAAAAACTGTTACCCTCACTGTTCAACTATAATACCCGTGTATCATCAGACAGGGAGATTACTGTTACCCTCACTGTTCAACTATGATACCCATGTATCATCAGACAGGGAGATTACTGTTACCCTCACTGTTCAACTATGATACCCATGTATCATCAGACAGGGAGATTACTGTTACCCTCCCTGTTCCTCTATAATACCTATGTATCATCAGACAGGGAGGTTACTGTTACCCTCACTGTTCAACTATAAAACCCATGTATCATCAGACAGGGAGATTACTGTTACCCTCCCTGTTCCTCTATAAAACCCATGTATCATCAGACAGGGAGGTTACTGTTACCCTCACTGTTCAACTATAAAACCCATGTATCATCAGACAGGGAGATAACTGTTACCCTCACTGGTCAACTATAAAACCCATGTATCATCAGACAGGGAGATAACTGTTACCCTTATTGTTCAACTATAATACCCGTGTATCATCAGACAGGGAGGTTACTGTTACCCTCACTGTTCAACTATAAAACCCATGTATCATCAGACAGGGAGATAACTGTTACCCTCACTGTTCAACTATAAAACCCATGTATCATCAGACAGGGAGATAACTGTTACCCTCCCTGTTCCTCTATAATACCTATGTATCATCAGACAGGGAGATTACTGTTACCCTCACTGTTCAACTATAAAACCCATGTATCATCAGACAGGGAGATAACTGTTACCCTCACTGGTCAACTATAAAACCCATGTATCATCAGACAGGGAGATAACTGTTACCCTCACTGTTCCTCTATAATACCTATGTATCATCAGACAGGGAGATTACTGTTACCCTCACTGTTCAACTATAAAACCCATGTATCATCAGACAGGGAGATAACTGTTACCCTCACTGTTCAACTATAATACCTATGTATCATCAGACAGGGAGATAACTGTTACCCTCACTGTTCAACTATAAAACCCATGTATCATCAGACAGGGAGGTTACTGTTACCCTCACTGGTCAACTATAATACCCGTGTATCATCAGACAGGGAGATAACTGTTACCCTCACTGTTCAACTATAATACCCATGTATCATCAGACAGGGAGATAACTGTTACCCTCACTGTTCCTCTATAATACCCGTGTATCATCAGACAGGGAGATAACTGTTACCATCACTGTTCAACTATAAAACCCATGTATCATCAGACAGGGAGATAAATGTTACCCTCACTGTTCAACTATAATACACATGTATCATCAGACAGGGAGATTACTGTTACCTTCACTGTTCCTCTATAATACCCGTGTATCATCAGACAGGGAGATAACTGTTACCATCACTGTTCAACTATAATACCCATGTATCATCAGACAGGGAGATAACTGTTACCCTCACTGTTCCTCTATAATACCTATGTATCATCAGACAGGGAGATAACTGTTACCCTCACTGTTCAACTATAATACCCATGTATCATCAGACAGGGAGATAACTGTTACCCTCCCTGTTCCTCTATAATACCTATGTATCATCAGACAGGGAGATAACTGTTACCCTCACTGTTCAACTATAAAACCCATGTATCATCAGACAGGGAGATAACTGTTACCCTCACTGTTCAACTATAATACCCGTGTATCATCAGACAGGGAGATTACTGTTACCCTCACTGTTCCTCTATAATACCTATGTATCATCAGACAGGGAGATAACTGTTACCCTCACTGTTCAACTATAATACCCGTGTATCATCAGACAGGGAGATAACTGTTACCCTCACTGTTCAACTATAATACCCATGTATCATCAGACAGGGAGATTACTGTTACCCTCACTGTTCAACTATAATACCCGTGTATCATCAGACAGGGAGATAAATGTTACCCTCACTGTTCAACTATAATACCCATGTATCATCAGACAGGGAGATAACTGTTACCCTCACTGTTCAACTATAAAACCCATGTATCATCAGACAGGGAGATAACTGTTACCCTCACTGTTCAACTATAAAACCCATGTATCATCAGACAGGGAGATTACTGTTACCCTCACTGTTCAACTATAAAACCCATGTATCATCAGACAGGGAGATAACTGTTACCCTCACTGTTCCTCTATAATACCCATGTATCATCAGACAGGGAGATAACTGTTACCCTCACTGTTCCTCTATAATACCCGTGTATCATCAGACAGGGAGATAACTG